AAGGATGTAAAGTCTCCATCCTTCTTAATGGCTGCATAGTATTCCATGGTGTACATATACCACAGTTTGTTGATCCATTCATGGATCGATGGGCACTTGGGCTTCTTCCATGACCTGCCATAAACCATTTCTTATCCATAAGAAGCAACTCCTCATCAGTTAAACTTTTATCCTGAGATTGTGGCAATTCAGTCACATCTTCATGGTTCACTTCTAATTCTAGTACTCTTTCTGTTTCCTCCATATCTGCAGTAACTTCTTCCACAGAAGTCTTGAACCCCTAAAAGTAATCAATCCATGAGGGTTGGAATCAATGTCTTATAAATTACTGTTGATGTTGATATTTCCACCTCCTCTCATGAATCATAATAAATGTTCTTAATAGCATCTAGAACAGTGAATCTTTTCCAGAAGGTTGTTAACTGACTGTGCCCAGATCCTTCAGAGGAATCACTATTTATAGCAGCTATAGCCTTACAAAATGTATTACTTAAGTAAGAAGACCTGAAAGTCAAAATTACTCCCTGATCTACAGAATGTAAATTACATTAGCAGGGATGAATCTCCTTATATATCTCCATCAGAACTCTTGAATGACTAAGTGCATTATCTGTCAGCAGTAATATTTTGAAAGGAATCTTCTTTTTCTGAATGGTAGCTCTTAAAGTGGGCTTAAAATATTTAGTCAGCTATGCTGTAAGCAGATGAACTGCCATGTAGGTTTTGTTGTTCAGTTGATGTGGCACGGTCAGAGTACACCGTCAGAGTACATGTATCATGATTAAGGATTGTAGGATTTTTGGATTGGTGAAACCATTAGTTTCAACTTAAACACCAACTGCGTTAGCCCCTAACAAGTGAGTCAGGCTCTCCTTTGAAGCTAGGCATTGATTTCACCTTTCTAGCCATGAAAGTACTAAATGACATTTGCTTCCAGTAGAAGGCTGCTTGGTTTATATTGACAATCTTTTGCTTCATATAGCCATCTGCATCAATTACCTTAGCTAAATCTTCTGTATAACTTACTGCAGCTTCTACATCCACACTGAGGTTTTACCTTTTATACTGTGGAGATGGCTTCTTTCTTTAAACCTTGTAAACTAACTTCTGCTAGCTTTTCTAACTTTTCTTCTACAGCTTTCTTACCTACTCTTAGCCTTCATAGGATTGGAGGGAGTTAGGTCTTTGCTCTGGATTCTGGATTAGCCTTGGCTTAAGGAGTGGTTGGTTTGATTTTCTATCCAGACCACTCAAACTTTATTCTCCATATCAGTAGTAATGCTGTTTTGTTTTCTTATCATGAGTTCACTGGAGTAGCACTTTTAATTTCCTTTAAGAACTTTTCCTTTGTATTTTCAATTTTGTTGGTGGTTTTGTGCAAAAGGCTAGCTTTCAGCCTGTCTCAGCTTTTGCATATCTTCCTCACTAAGCTTAATCGTTTTTTAGCTTTTGATTTAAATTGAGAGGCACGAACTCTTCCTTTTACATGACACTTAGAGCCCATTGTAGGGTTATTAATTGGCCTAATTTCTACATTTTGTCTCAGAAAATAGGGAAGTCCAAGGAGAGGGAGGGTGACAGGGGAATGGCTGATTAGTGGAGCAGTCAGAAGTCATACAGTATTTATTAAATTAGCCACTTTATGTGGATGTGGTCGATGGCGCCTAAAACAATTACAGTAGTAACATCAAAGATCACTGATCACAGATCTCCATAATGGATATAATAATAATGATGAGGTGGGAGTATTGCAAGAATTACCACAACGTGGCACAAAGAGAAGGTGAGCACATGCTGTTGACAAAATGATACAGATAGACGTGCTTAACTCAGGGTTACCACAAATCTCAATTTATAAAAATCACAGTACAGTAGAACTTGTGTAAGTTGACCACCTCAGGGACTTTAACAAACTGGTCAACATGTAGAGAGGTTTATATAAAGGAACTAGGTCTATTGTACTGATATGTACATGTGGTGTTATGTCTAGTCTGTGAAAATTAGGTCAGCTTAGGGAGGTGGTGAGCTATGGAGGTTCTATTATATCTGCAAATTGCAGTAAAATAGAGTATGCTTTTCCTTGGAAATAATGTCTTTTATTACTTTCTTCCTTGATTTCTTTTTTTAACCCAGGCTAGAGTGCAGTGGTTATTATAGCTCACCTCAACCTCAAACTTCTAGGCACACGTTGTCCTTTTGCCGCAGCTTCTCAGTAGCTGGGACTACCGGTGTGTGCCACTGCACCTGGCTAATTTTTTTTTTTTTTATTTTTAGAGGAGATAGGGGTTTGTCCTTGCTCAGGTTGATCTTGAACTTCTGACCTTAAGTGATCCTCCCACCTTGGCCTTCCAAAGTGCTAAGATTATAGTCATGAGCCACCACTCCCAGCCTATGAGTGAGTGATTGATTTTTAAGGCAAGTGTAGAACAAAGTTTATTGAGGAAGAGAAAGGAATGTTTATAGACTAAGAGCAAGATAAAGGCTTACAGAGCAAGATACGTACTCTTATAGACAGCTAACACACCGCCTCCATTGCCAGGGTAAGTAGGCAAAGAGGCCCCAGCCTATGATTTTTAAATAAAGGCATTATCATATCTAAACCATTTACTAGTCAGGTCTTATGGCATATGCCTGTAGTCTCAGAGTCTTGGGACTGAGGCCAAAGGATCCCTTGACCCTAGGACTTTTGATTCTAGTCTGGACAACACAGCAAAACCCTGTCTCTTAAAAGCAAAAGCCATAAACTTACTGAAAAAAGAGGATATCCTTCTTAGATGATTTAGTTTTAGTATATTTAGGTGTCTGAAACAGTTACAGACCTGGACATTGAAACATAAACTTGTCACAAAGCATTTATACCTGGTAGAGTTTTGGATGAGATATATCATGTTAACCAAATGTATTAAGGCCAGGTGCAGTGGCTAATGCCTATAATCATATCAATTTGTGAGACTGATGTGGAATTTTGCTTGAGTTCAGGTGTTCAAGACTAGCCTAAACAAGAATGAGACCCCATCTGTACAAAAAGTATAATAATTAGCTGGGTGTGGTGGTGTGTGCTTACAGTTCTAGCTGAGGAAGCTGAAGCAGGAGAATTGCTTCAGCTCAGGAATTTGACATTGCATGTGAGCTACAGTAACACCACTGTACTCTGGTTGGGGAGACAGAGTGAGACTCCTGTCTTTACCCTATAAAAACAATTGTTGTACTCCTTTTCTTTTAGTTTTAATGTATAAAAATAATAAATCATAGTGGATACATAAATGGAATATTCATAATCTGAAAGATGTCTAAAGCTATTTGGTATCTAGGGCAAACAGCAGTACCTGAATCTGAGCTTGCCTAGGCTTTAGAGAATTGATGTGAAACCAGGCATCGTTAACTAGAAATAGAAGAATCTTTTCTAAGACCTGCGAGCGGTACAATGAGTGGTACAGTGACCTGCGACCTGCGTGCGGTAAAATGACCCGCGAGCGATACTCAGAGCCGCGAGTGGTACATGTGCTGCATCGGTGTAAAAAACACGCTAGTGCCTCTGCATTTGCGTAAAAAACACGCCAGTGTCACTGAATTGGCATGGAAAAACGCACTAGTGCCTCTGCATTGGCGTAAAAAGACTTCATAAGTTAAGAGACTTCATAGGTTCCCATGAGTAGAAGAAAGAAGAGGGTTGTAATGGCCAGTATTACAAACTTTTTTGGAAAAAAAGATTAACACAGTATAACAGAAATGTGATACTTTATAATCCAAGCAGTATTCTAGATTATTCTAGCTATTTTGCTGTTTTAAAAAAGTGAACCTTTACTTCACTACATAGTAATTTTAATCTTAACTATTTTTCTTACAGCTGGTATTTAAAGATGCTACAGTGCTGCAAATGTAAGCAGTGGTTTCATGAGGCTTGTGTGCAATGCCTTCAGAAGCCAATGCTATTTGGAGACAGGTAAGAAGGACACCTGACTTTTCCTGACTACTTTTTGTGCCTTTTTAATTGTGATTATGTTTGTAGTTTCAGATTTCTAAAAATAGTGATTTAGAAAGAAGTCACTTCAGAAGGGAAATACAGAATATTATACTTCACATTAATTTTTGGTGCTTCTTGGTATTTCAGGAAGCTTATAAGCTTTCAGTGATCACATTTGTTCTTAACTGCCCCACAGTGCTCTAAACTATTCTCATTGGTACTTATAAGAACCTCACAGGGATCCTATGACAGAGAATAGAAAAAGATTATAGGTCCTTGTTAGAGACACACTTACACCTTAGATATAAAGAATTTCTTTCTTTTTTTTTTTTGAGACAGAGCCTCAAGCTATTCCCCTGGGTAGAGTGCCGTGGCATCACAGCTCACAGCAACCGCCAACTCCTGGGCTCAAACGAGTCTCCTGCCTCTGCCTCCCAAGTAGCTGGGACAACAGGTGCTCGCCACAACACCTGGCTATTTTTTTGCTTGCAGCCATCATTGTTGTTTGGCAGGCTTGGGCTGGATTCAGACCCACCACCTTAGATATATGTGGCTGGCTCCTTAGCCACTTGAGCCACAGGTGCCGAGCCGATATAAAGAATTTCTAAAAGCAGTCTCAGTGTACTTCCTATATTAGGGTAATGTGGAATAGCCCAGAGTAAGCTCTATGAACAAACATTAAAGATAGATCACTCAATTTGGTATCAAAACACCTGGGTTTATATCTAGGCTTATGCTACTTAATTTTTTTTCTGACTTGTCTTCTGCTTATCTCTTTTTGGGCTTATCACCAGTTATTTTGAGCATTGAATGCAATAATGTATATAGTGGCAGCCATTACAACTCCTGGCTGCATACAAATCTTCTCTGTGAACTTTGAAGGTCTCTGATGGTTAAAAATGTTGTCCTTTCCCTTCAGGTATAAATAATTTTTTTTGCAGTTTTTGGTCGGGGCTGGGCTTAACCCACACCTCCGGCATATGGGGTCAGGCCCTACTCCTTTGAGCCATAGGCGCTGCCTGATAATTTCATTTGTTATTAGAAAAGAAATTCCTTAAATGATAGTTTCCTAATTCAGAGTACATTTTGATTTGAATATTAATCTTTACATCAACTGTAGGATATTCACTTGTTCAATATGGGCTACTATTGCTAAATAACTTATTCTTAATTGCTCAATATAAAACTTTCTCCCTTTTTCTTAGGTTTTATACATTTATTTGCTCTGTCTGCAGTTCTGGACCAGAATACCTCAAACGTCTACCATTACAGTGGTAAGCATGGAAATTTCTAGGGTTTTTTTTAAAGCCATATTTTTCAACCTGCAAGATGAAACTTTCTGTATACATGGCTTAAATAAAATTTGATCTTTATACCTGCCTTTTTTCTTTTATTTATCTTCAAACCTAGTGTTATCTTCACCAAGGATTATCCATTTTTTTTTTCTAAATTACTAAGGTTGTTCATTGTAGAATGGCATAAATATAGCTTTTAGACATCTTTTAGATCTTCAAAATTCTTATTGTTTTTAGTTCTTTTTTTATTGAATGGTAACTATGTATATTAATGCACTTCTGGGGTACAAGTGTGGGGTTTTCACACACAATCCGAAACACTTCCATCAAACTGGTTAACATAGCCTTCGTGTCATTTTCTCAGTTATTGTTTTAAAACGTTCACATTCTGCTCTTAGAAAGATTCACTTGTACCCTTGTAAGATAAACCTCAGATGTGATCCCTCCAATCCTCCTCCCTCTACCCATTTCCCCTTTCCCTCTCCCTATTTCCCTTTTCCCTCTCCCTTCCCCCTCCCCCCTTCCCGTATCCTTAGGCTGTTACTAGGTTATAGCTTACATATAAAAGATATAAATTAGTTTCATAATAGGGGTGTGTACATTGGATACTTTTTCTTCCATTCTTGTGATACTTTGCTCAGAAGAACATTTTCCAGCTCCATCCGTGTGAACATGAAGGACGTAAAATCTCCATCTTTCTTTATTGTTTTTAGTTCTTTTGGGCTTTCAGAATAGCATACAGTAGAAGAGAGATAGGTGTAACAAACAGGTCAGTTTCTGCTTCAGTGTGATAATTCTTGTGCATGGAAAGTGTTGTGAATTTTGGAGATTTACTAATAAAATATCTACTTAAGTACTTAAAATTTTTTCTTGTGTTGTACATGTTTTAGGAATGTATTTTAAGAATTCATCAATCAGATAAAATGAAGTCTGATAAAGTCTCATCTATTCCGTAGCTTATATGTAGTAATGAAAACACCAAACTCTCTCTCTTTTTTTTTTTTTTTCCATTTTTTGGCTGGGGCTGGGTTTGAACCTGCCACTGGCATATGGGGCCAGTGCCCTACCCTTTTGAGCCACAGGCGCCACCCCAAAACACTAAACTCTTGATCATAGGTTATATTTTCTTAAAGTTAGATTTATTTTTTAATAAAATGTAGAAATATTTTAATTTACATCTAAATGAATGAATATGTAGTCAAAATCCACAACACATTTGTAAAAATTGCACATATCGTCTTTAGATGAATAATGAATTTCTAAGCATTTACAGATGTCCAACTATGTAGCTTTTCTTCAGTGTGCTACAGAGTTTGGAGGTTCTGCTGGAATATTCCCCAAATCAAGCACAGAATCTGTCTCTTCATCAGTTTGTTCAGTGACTGTAAAATTGTCACCTCTTATAATGTATAACCCTAGTATAACTTGCTCTATTCCCTATGAAGAGCTCAATACTCTTCACTGGCTTTCATTCAGAATCAAATTAACGGGTTGATCAGAACTTCAGTGTTCCTATAGTCATTCTACCATGAGAAGTAACAACAGTAACAGTCTGGTTAATGCAGTTGTCCAGAGCAGATGTCAGTGCTGCACAGTCTGGCAAACCTGGGTAACAGAGCGGCACTGGCTACAAGAAGAGCTGAAAGACGAAAGTCAGATCTTTTCATTTTATTTTAATCTTTTTAATACAGTTTAAGAAGTAATTTAAATTGGGCAGCACCTGTGGCTCAAAGGAGTAGGGGGTTGGCTCCATATGCCAGAGGTGGCGGGTTCAAACCCAGCCCCAGCCAAAAAAAAAAAAAAAACAGCAAAAAAAAGAGAAATAATTTAAATGCCTTTGAGTTTATAGTTACTATTCAGGACAAGTAAATACTTACTGTTTTTCAGTTATTTTCAAATGTAATGATTTGTTGTTCTGTGAATATGACTTGGTGATATTTACTATCTACCTGAATACCTCATTTCTGATTTTTAATTGCTGTTTTTATAAAGAAACTGTATGATTTTCTTAATAGTAACCAAAACCACTGTTTTTGTATATTTTTGATTATTTTTGGATTCCAGGGTAGATATAGCACACCTATGCCTTTACAACCTAAGTGTTATTCACAAGAAGAAATATTTTGATTCTGAACTTGAGCTTATGACATACATTAATGAAAACTGGGATAGATTGCACCCTGGAGAGGTAGGTGGTCTTAGAGCTAACTGCATTAGCTACTTGATGTCTTTCTTATTTTGTTTTTGTTAAAAATGACTGAGAGACATGCATATATAAGACAACTAAGGTATAATTTTATTTTTAATTCTGGAAAGAAATAACTTTGATAAAGATACCAAGAATCAGCCTTTTCATCTTCCTGTATTTGTTGCCTGTTGACTCTGGAAAATTGTAGGAGGAAATAAATGATTTGATTCTTCCATTTTCTGAAGTAAGAATTATTATAGTTAAAGATAGGAGGGAGAAATTCTTACTATTGCATATCTTATGATTCTGCCTTCTTTTCTTGTAAGTTTTCTGTGAGATGTAACCAGTATTCTTCCTTCCTCTCTTATTAGTAATCTCTTATATATCGCTGATTTCCAGAATGGTGGGATCTATTGGTAGTGTCAGAATAATTAGTTACAGAATGAAGCTCAGTGGAAGATTATATCCCCTCTTTCTGACATGTTGTTTTACTTCTTATTTGGGAAGTATAACCACCTATGCTGGTTTACAGAACCTTTTTTAAAGGAAAATAAAAGTAATGCATGTTCATTGCAGATTTTGGAACTGTAGAACAGCATTAAGACAGGTGCTCAGCCTGTCTTAATGTGATTCTACAGGTGGCTCACACCTGTAATTCTAGCACTATGGGAGGCTGAGGGGGGTGGATTGATTGAGCTCATGAGTTTGAGACTAGCTTGGGAGACTATTTGGGAGGCTGAGGCAAGAGAATCACTTAAGCCTAAGAGTTTGAGGTTGCTGTGAGCTGTGATGCCACAGGCACTCTACTGAGGGTGACGAAGTGAGACTTTGTCTCAAATAAAAAAAAAGAAAAAGGAATGACACTAAGAGGGAAATAATTAGAACATAAGTTTAGTAGTTACTTACTTTGTTTTTAGCATTTACTTAGAATTAATTGAAATAGCAAATATTAACTACTTTTAGGTTAAAACTAACAAATTTATAATAGATGGAATTTGATGTGTGCATTTTAGTCATGCATTATTTTTTGAGGTAAAAATTGTACAAACATAACGTACATTAGAATTTCTGTATTTGTAGCTTTTAGACATGAAGGAAATTATAAGGTTTATATCAAATAGGATATCAAAGGGTTTGGGGGTTTTATGGGAATCCTTTATGGCATTTCTTTAACTAGAAATATATTATGTTCTCCTGGATGCCCATAAAATCCCTGTAGATCAGCTCCATAAAATAAAGCAAATCCTCCAGGATACTTAGATGTTAAAATCTAGGATATTGAAGTTCCATTGATATGAGATGTTTTCAGTGTTAGATAATGGACTATAATACTGATTTTTGTTATGTTCACTATCAAATGTTTTTGTAGATGAAGTTTGAGAGAAATTGATGTATAAATTTGATAGATTTTAATAAACTGATTATATAAGAGAAAAAAGATAAAAGGCACTAGTAGTGACTCTAGTGCTTTTATCACTTAGTCATCTTCATAGTCATCTTAATATACCCATGATGAAATCTGTAGTAGTTACTTGATGGAGATAATGGGTATACATATAAAAATTTAAGTTGTATTTATTTCAAATACTATATATATATATATTTGTTAAATCATAGCTGTGTACATTAATGCAATCATGGGGTACAATGTGCTGGTTTTATATACAATTTGAAATATTTTCTTTCTTTCTTTTTTTTTTTTTCGAGACAGAGCCTCAAGCTATCCCCCTGGGTAGAGCGCCATGGCTTCACAGCTCACAGCAACCTCCAACTCCTGGGCTCAAGCGAGTCTCCTACCTCAGCCTCCCAAGTAGCTGGGACTATAGGCGCCCGCCACAACGCCCAGCCATTTTTTTGGTTGCAGCCATCATTGTTGTTTGGCGGGCTGGGCTGGGGATTCGAACCCGCCACCCTAGGTGTATGTGGCTGGCACCTTAGCCGCTTGAGCCACAGGCGCCGAGCCCAATTTGAAATATTTTCATCAAACTCAAATGCTATGATTTTTTGCTAAGATTTAAATTTTCATGCTTAGATTTCCAAGGCTGAAAATATAAAACAAAAATGACAGTCTTATTTTTCAAGAAAAGAGTTCAATTTATGAATTTCAGGTTTCTTGGCTCCAGTTGAACTTCCTAGCCTCAAGCATTCTTCCCATCTCAGCCTCACAAAGTGCCAGGATTACAGTTGTGAGCTACTGTGCCAGACCACTAACTGAGTTTACTTTTAAGTATTTATGGTGATAGATATCAGCAAAGATAAAATAAAGATAATGCAAATAATGGATTTTTCCAAATTATTGGAACAATGAATCTTTGTTTAACTAAAATTAAATTATAAATTGAATTATGCCACTAATCCAAATTTAGTTAACCAAAATTTTTTTGTTTATATTCTTCATCAAAATCTTTTTATAGTGTCCCTTTACATCACGTGTTACCTTCCCCATTATCACCATCCCCGATGGAGAAGTACATTAGTTATAATTTATTGAACCTATTTTGACACTATCATCATCTAATGCTGTGTCTTCTTTTAATACCAAAAAGAAGTTTCAGAAATCTTAAATGTCTTTTTGAGATAAGATTGTTTCATATTGAAAGGCAAATTTAATGTTCATTTATGATATATTTTTTCTTAGTTAACTATTGTGCAAGATTGTTAAGAAGAGAAGCTAAAACTTTTGGATCATATTATAATATGATAATTTTATACTGGTTTGATATGTGTTTACAACTTGGTACCTTAACGATTCATGTAGATTGAGTGTAGCTGTTGGAGGAACTACATGTATTTTGAAATATTTTCTTTGAGATAATAAAAGTACTTAATATAACATTGGAAGCCACAATAAAGATTTTCTGAAGTTTTTATTAAAGTGAAGTCTCACATTGTGGTACCTCATTGTTTTGTGGAGTTTAAAATGAGGTAGTAATACTTTTTGGAATTTGTATGTTGCCATTTGTCTTTGCTTCCTAATGTGATTTAAAATCCTAGTTCTGTAACAGCCTCTGTTAACTGTGGTCTTAAATTTTAAAAACCCTAAAGTTGATAGCAGAAGAATGAACTGAGTACTACCTCACTTTTGAGAGAAATAGGGAGAAAAGCTTAGATAAAAATGAAACTCAGTGAAGTACTATGGTGGAAATACTATTAGAGGAAATGTGTAATAGTGGTGGTATGATACTTTTAAGTAAAAACTTAAGGAATTTGATTAACAGTACTTGGGGCCTTGAGAATTACATGCTAAGCATTTATGGTGTATAGGTTGGCAACACATTACTTAAGCTTTAGCATACTGAAACCTAGGTGGTATAAAACTCAATATTGGTGATTGAAGGGAAGAGTTATGCTGTAAATAATAGCATTTATGTCTATGTAGACATATACAAACTTGAAAGTAAAAGGGTAATGTGAGATTAGTATCTGGGGAGGGAGGAGCAAAAATAATTGTTCCTTTGAAGATTTATATATATATAAATTTTTTTTCTTTAAACTCTTAGGCTCAAGCAATTGTCTTGCCTTAGCCCCCGTGTAGCTGGGACTACAGGTGTCGGCTATTTTATGTTGCAGTTGTCATTGTCGTCTAGCTGGCCCTGGCTGGGTTCAAACCCACCAGCGTTGGTGTATGCGGTTGGCACTGTAACCACTGTGCTATGGCGCCAAGCCTTGAAGATTATATTGTAAACCTCATGGTCAGATGGAAGGTATAGGATATGATGCTCTTTGATATAGTTCATCTGATTTACACTATAATAGCTATACTTGTAGTTTGCAAAACACAGAAAAGGAGCTCTTGGCACCTTTGTGTAGTTAAAACGTAAGAGTTCTATCCAAAATAGTCTGTGGAAAGGCCAGGCACAGTGGCTAATGCCTGTAATCCCAGCATTTAGGAGGCTGAGGCAGGTGGATTGCCTGAGCTCACAGGTTCAAGATCAGCCTGAGCCAGACTGAGACCTCGTCTCTAAAATATAGCTGGGCCTTGTGGTGGGCCAAGCTATATTTTAGAGTGGATCCACTCCTTTTCTAAAATTAGGATTTCAAAAATTAGGAAGTCAGTTTTGTAAAGTATTGGCAAAATAGTAGAGCACATTTTTCAGATGTATGGTTTATGAAGATTTAAAAAATATAGTAAGGGAAAAACTCTTATTAGAGTTTTAGAGTTAAGTCATGCTAAATACCCTTGTTTTTGTTTTGATATGCTTAGTGACCCTGTTTTGTCACATGCTGTGGGCATGGTGTAGGCATAGTATAACTTGATTTTCAGGTAGTATTAAAATGCAACTTGTTTCGGGCAGTGTCTGTGGCTCAAAGGAGTAGGGCGCTGGCCCCATATGTCGGAGGTGGCGGGTTCAAACCCAGCCCTGCTCCCCCCAAAATGTGAATTATTTAATGTAAAAGTGAAATGAAAAATAATAAAATGAACACTTTGGAGACATTCTTGAGGGAGTTTTTAATGGAGGGCCACAGAGTTTTGTCGTCATTGCTGTGTTCAATTAAGAGAAAAGATTATCTAGAAAGTGAGCTGCAAACAAAATGAAATTACCTACAGTTGTGAAGTTCTGCTGTTAGGTGTAAACACAGACAGCTATAAATATGTATACTTGATTTGAGAGCAATTCATCAAGTGAGATTTCAGAATTGTGGTGATAGGAGCAGGAAGAGAGTAGAATTAGTCAAAAGCTTAACATGAAATAATCATGTGATGTGACTGTTAAAATTTTTAATGTAATCTTAGACATGGTGGCTGCTTTCAAATATTTGCGGAGCTGTCTTGTAAAAGAGTACCAGGGAGGAAGTTTTGCCCTATTGTCTTGTCTTTCTTGGTAGGTGTCTCATCAGCTTTTGTTAGTGGTAATAAAGCCACAGTTGAATAAATATTTCTACTGCAAAAATGATTGCAATATTGGTGGAAGGTTGAATTAGATCTAGTGTCTTATTGAGGCTTTAAAGTCTGATTCTTACATTCTTCTTTTGATGGAATTAATCATTGGACATAAGTATGTATTTTAGCACTGAACACATTGGCACAGAGTAGGCCCTCTGTAAATGTTGAGTGAATGTACTTAGAGTAGGATTCAGGTTCTAGAATTTGAGCAATTCGTTTAGCCTTTTATATTAATTCATTTGTAAAAATAGGGTTGGAGCAGATGAGTTATAAGTCTCTTCTAGCTTTATCATTCTGTGTGGGAGATTTATTTGCTCTTTCATTTAAATAAGTTTTGAGGTTTGGTAGTTTGAAACAGTAAAGAACACACAGGTTGTAATTTTGAAAGTCAACTGTGATATTTTGTAGCTTTTTTTAAAAATGTTTTTGTGGCTGTAATTTAGGACTGTCCTTTTATAATTTAGAATTTTTTGCTGCTTGATCCCTGTCTTTAAAACTATGAAAAAGAGGCAAAATGGTCTTTTAGGGAGAGCCCGATTGGAACAAAATAGAGTATTTTTTAGAATTTATTATAAAGATTTAAAAATGGCTTGTGATGATGAAATATTAGCCATATTAGCTATAATTGTTATCATAATAAAATCCCCCACTGTCACAGTATTTTTAAAAAGTTTTAGAGCTTATTAGTTTATACAGATGTTGGAGGTATTGGGAAATACAATGATATCTTTCTGATTACTTTTTAATCTCTTTTCTTTTGATACCTATTAGAAGTTTTTTATGGTAAATATTAAAATAATTCCAATGTATTTTTCCCCAGGTTATAGAATAAAAAAAATTAACAAGGGCTAAAATAAACCGCATTTTTGTAGTGCCCTATAGTTCTTAGTTACTTTGTGTTGTATTGTTTGATCATATAAAAAAACAAATAAAACAATTAGTACAGGATTTTATAGTGCCCCTTTTATAGGTAAGAAAGTAAGCCTTGAAAGGTTAAATGACTTGAGAGCACATAGTCAGTCAGTGGGGACTTGGAACTTTGGTCTTCTGACTACTAGTCAGTACACTTTTCCTCTATATCACATTGCCTCTGTCTAGCACCTGTGTATTACTAATTGATGAAATTATAGTGCGTTAAATTGTTTCTTGATACTTCACAGCTGGCAGACACACCAAAATCTGAAAGATATGAACATGTTCTGGAGGCATTAAATGATTACAAGACCATGTAAGTTGATTTATTTTATGTATCCCTATGAGGGAGACATTAGTAAGTATAAGGAATAATAGCATTGTTAAGAATTGTGGGATTGCTGTATAGAACAAGTGCATACCATTTTAAACTTTTTAATGTCCTTTTTTCCTTTAGTCAGAGTAAAGCAGTGATTCTCAAGGGTTGAGAAGGAAGAGTAATCCTTCTGGGAATGGTGGGTGTTAGGCATATCAGTGTCTCCAGGGGTAGTTTGGCTTTATCCATTGAAAAAGCTTATACAGCAATAATTTCTATATTGTATTCTACTGAAAGTAAAATAAAATCTTGTTAGCAAAGACTGTTAGATTTTGGGAATATGCAAAAGATGAGAAAATATTGTACAGAATATGGGTTTAAGATTAGGATCTATGGTTTTAAGATTAGGTCCTGACATCAGTTGCAGAACAGTAATTTTGGTCTAAGATAATTGACTGATGGCTCGGCGCCTGTGGCTCAAGCGGCTAAGGCACCAGCCACATACACCTAAGGTGGTGGGTTCGAATCCCCAGCCCGGGCCCGCCAAACAACTATGATGGCTGCAACAAAAAATGGCCAGGCATTGTGGTGGGCGCCTGTGGTCCCAGCTACTTGGGAGGCTGAGGCAGGAGACTCGCTTGAGCCCAGGAGTTGGAGGTTGCTGTGAGTGTGATGCCATGGCACTTTACCCAGGGGGATAGCTTGAGGCTCTGTCTCAAAAAAAAAAAAAAAAAAAAAGATAATTGACTGATATTGTTTCGTATGTTCTTGTATAAATTTTCTCTGCTCCTTTTTTAGCCAGCATATCTACAGTTCTTGAAAATATTTTTAAAATGCAGCAGAAATGTTACAAGTGTATGTGGTGACTCCAATACACTATCAAATTATATTATAAAATTTTTGTTTGCAATTTTTTATTTTGACAACATTTCATCATTACATAATATTGTAAATACTAGTGGCTAGATCTTTATTCCAGCTCAAAAAACCATATCGTACCTTAGCAATTATTATACTGGTAAAAATATTTTATGGATAGTGAATTTTGAGTTTCAACTTAGGATGCTAGAAATCTAGCATTCTCTTCCTGTTATGGTAGAAATAGAGTCTCCCCTTTTCTTAAACTTGCAAAAAATAATTGGTAGAGTTTCTTTTGGTTGGGAAGGTATTAGGTAAATAAGCCAAGGTAAATGAGAATTTGGGAATAAGGACCCTAAAGACTAAGGAAAGGGCTAAGGAGTATATTTTTCAGAGGCCCAAGTCCATACTATACTGGAATAACACTTATTTGCCCCACATTATTTCTAGTTCTAGATCTGGCATACCATATACTCTTTTATTCTGGTATACTATATATTCTTTATATTCTTTTATTTTCTGGGCCTCTAGGATTGGTATCTCACTTTCTTTTCCAATGTTGTTACCTGTTATTTTTGGCTATAATTTGTTTACTCACAGATTCACTCTGGAATAGAATTATTTTTTCCTAAAGCTTTTTTGAGATAGTTCTAACATAACATGAAAATACAGAAAAATATGTCTGGACTAAATGATACTGTTCTTTGTTATTCTTCCTTTAAAAAGTTAGTTGCCATGTTTAACATGACAAGTAGATGTGGTTTTTTCCCTTTTCACCTATTTCTTCCCTTCACCATATTCTACTGTGGGCTGGTTGTGAGCCACATATGAATCAAGGAAAGGAGGGGAGAAGTATTTTGTAGTATATGGTGGGCTTTCATGTATAAAGAACTTATATCCGAAAGTTATGAGTTAGGGTCTGCATGTATATGTGTTCAGTTTTTAAAATTTTAGTTAATTTCTTTAAAAATTTAGGTTTATGTCTGGGAAAGAAATAAAGAAGAAGAAGCATTTGTTTGGGTTGCGAATTCGTGTTCCTCCTGTGCCACCAAATGTGGCTTTCAAAGCAGAGAAAGAACCTGAAGGAACATCCCATGAATTTAAAATTAAAGGCAGAAAGGCATCCAAACCTATATCTGATTCAAGGTAAAAGTTGATCTGTGGCTTAGTTTTTCTCCTTGGCATATTTGTTACTAAAAATGTATATTATTTAGTATCATTAGTATATTTGAAAGTACAAGTGGCACTTACCTAGATTTTTTTCTTGCCTAGAATGTCTTGCTTAGATGAGGTACAAAGACTTGATGCCAGATGCTTGTTATTGACCCTATTAATTAATTAATTAATTATTATTTTTGCCCTTTTGAAATTCTATATGGAAAACTATTGATTTTGTTAGCAAAAAGCATAAGTATTGGCCTGTTTGTTTGTTTATTCATTTATTTTTCATCATTCACTTGTTCATTCAGCACATTTATTGAGTGCCTTGTTATCTAATTAATGGGGGATACAATGACAAGGGTAGATTTTCCTTCTGCCCTGATAGGGTTTACATTGAATGGGGAACAAAGATAATAAACAAGTAAAATAATTTACAGATCATGCTAGTGCCATTTAGGAAATAGCACACTAATTTTTCTAGATTTTTCTGGGATGGATAGAGATGGGGGTACTGTACTTTAAAAAGGCAGTATAGGAAGGGCTATTTAATAAGATAATAATGTCATAAGGTTAGTTTAAAAATAAAACAAATTTAAAATAATATTTAAGTTGAGCGTGGTGGCTCATGCCTATAATCTTAGTACTCTAGGAGGCCAAGGTGGGAGTTTGAGACCAGCCTGAGCAACAGTGAGACCCCCATCTCTATAAAAAATGGAAAAATTAGCTGAACATGGTGGCAAGTGTCTGTAGTCTCAGCTACTTAGGAAGCTGAAGCAGGAGGATCACTTGAGCCCAGGAGTTTGAGGTTGCAGTGAGCAGCTATGATGACACCACTGCACTCTAGCCTGGGCAACAGAGTGAGACTGTCTCCAAACTACAACAACAACAATAAAAACAAACAAAAAGCAAAACACCCCAGGTGACAAAGATAGCAAGTGCAAAGGTGCCACAGGACATGTCATAGGAACTCAGAAGAGACTGGTACAGTATGAATGAGAACTAGACAAGGGTTGGAAAGGTTAAATAGGGCTTCATCATGTAGGGATTTGTAGGTTTCATAAGGAGTTTGGGTTGTTTTCTAAGAACAGTGTACAGCCATTTATGGGATTTAATTATCTTTTAAAAGTACTTCTTTGGATGCTATTTTGAGAATGTACAGTGTAGAGGCAGAATAGAAGCAGGAAAAAATTAAGACTCTTGCTTTTGTCTAAGTGAGAGATAAATAGTGGATGCTTGTGCAGGGGTAGGTGGTTAACAGTCAAATGGAGAGAAAATAGATTCATGATCTCTATAGGAAGCCAAGTTAATTGGACTTGCTAATGAATCAAATTTATGAAAGGGAAGAATCAATTAAATGATACTCAGGTTTCTGGCTTGAGGAACTGGTGGGTGGCAGTGTCTGTTACTAAGATTTAGAAGAATAGATTTTGGCACATTGATTGAAGCATTATTCTGTCTCATACTCAATGAATTTGAGATTCTTATGAGGGATATCTAAAGGATAATGGGAGATACAGATAATTGGATTTGTAAGTCAGGAGCTCATAGAAGTCAGGTCAAGTGATAGAAATTTAGAATCTGATTTATAAGCCATGAGAGTGAATGAAATTACCTAGGAATCAAGTAGAGAGAGAAGGGAATGTGGCCCAGAATAATGTCCTGATGCTATGTGTCATTTATAAATTTGGAAGAGATGAAATAAGCAAAGGAAACTTAAAGAGAAGTGATCACTGAGATAGGAGGAAAGAGGAAAGTTTGTTGTCATGAAAACCAAAAGAAAGAGTATTTCAAGAAAGATGAATATATTAAACTAGTGAATACCAGAGAGAGGTGGATTAAGATGAGAGAAAAATACTTACTGCGCAAGGTAACTTTTAGTGACCTTGACAAAGCCATTTCTTTGAAATAGTAAAGATGCCAGGTTGGAGTGGGTCTAGGTATGATTAAATCCATCACTGCCCAATTTTCATGTAAAAACTGGGCTTCTAACATATGAGAGATACAGGTAGATTCAGTTTAATAATAACAACAAAAGAAAGGGAACACAGGAAATTATGTTTAATAATTCTGAATGAAAAGAGAGAAAGTAGAAAGAGTACGTGTCAGCACTCAGAAATTTTCCTGTACGGGGAAAAGCAGACAAATAGCAGCTGAAATTTTCCTGTACAGGGAAAAGCAGGGAATGGCAGCTGAAGAGGGGAATGATGATTCTTTTTTTTAATAGATGAGAGATAATTGGAACTTGTTTTTGTGTGCTAGTAGGAGTGATCCAGTGAAGAAGAAGAGATTGGTGTAGGAGAGAGAGGAGCTAATTGAAGATATTGTAAAGTCTTTGAGAAGCCAAATGAGAAGGGATCTAGAGCCTAAATGTGGGAATGGCCTTTTATAGGAGGACAAACATCCTTCTGATGAAATGAGGTGAATAAAGAGAAGATGGGTACAGATGCTGGTTCTGTTATAGATTGGACAGTTGGAAGATGCTTAAAGTTCTTACCTGGTAGTTTCTATTTTCTCAATGAAATGTAAGGCAAAGATAGCTGACAGTGTTGTACAGAAAGGGAAACTGAAGGTAAATTAAAGGTATGAAACTATCATCTTAGAGAGTAAGAAAATAATTGTATACAGAGTGTTGACAGTGCATCATAGTCATTTGAAGTATGTAATAAAGTAGATAATATTTAAATTTTCTGAAGGAGAATGCTTATTACTCCTATCACTTTTAAATTTTATTACTCTAAACCTTTTGTTAGCAATTGCTCATATTATGAATTAGAAAAAAGACTTCCACAAACTTCGTCATTCCTGTTATAATTTTGATAGTATGTTCTCTATCTGTGGTAGCTATCAGGTCATCTGATGCCACTAGGTAAGAGTTCAGCTGCCTTTAAATGCATCCTCAGTTCCTCCTGGGCCCTATGCATGGATAAGTCATTTTAGTTTAGAATTCTTTCTTTAGTTCAGGGATTCTTTGTAAGTGCTATGTCAATCATCTTTCAAAAAAATGTATATTACCTCTGTTTTATCTTTGAGAGTTTTGATTGTAGGTCTTGATCTTTGTTCTTTTAGCTCCTCCTTTCTACCTTTCTCCCCGACCTTAATTTGGCCTCTGGAGGAAAGAATTTTTTCCTCTTTCACAATCTCTGTCTAGACTGTTATGTAGTATTGTCCTTTTCCTCTGTTTTTTCTTTCTTTTATTTTTGTTGTTGTTGTTGTTGCAGTTTGGCCGGGGCCAGGTTTGAACCCACCACCCTCAGTATATGGGACTGGCACCCCCCTTTACTGAGCCACAGGCACTGCCCTCCTCTGTTTTTCTTGATTGGGTTTTCCTGGATTCCTTTCTTACAGCATGTACCCTATTTTATTAGCTTGCTTCTACACAAATTTATTATCTTCTAACTATATTGTGAACCCCTTGGCACAGGGTATATCTTTGTATAACTATTATCTAATGATCCGTTGATGTGCTATTGCTTTTTTCCCGTTCTTGTTCTGTTGATTAGAAATGTCTTTGGCTATTGTATTTTTTTTTCCTTTCCTATTGCTTAGTATTTGGCTTTATAGTTCAACAATAGTTTTCTAGATCTATAATTTTTCCCTTTGAATGACTCTGCCAATATGAAGGATTCCTTATTCTTTTCTTTTTTCCATTCTGCCACTCTGAGCTCCATTTTCTTTCTGACATTGTTATTCAAGAATCCATGTTATATTTATCTTGAAAGGCAGCCTTTATTGGTAGCTACTATTAATTTGAACAAAGATACTAACTGGCTCCATGAGGTTAACTGCTAAATTCATAATCATTTTTAGTATTAAATTCTAAAAACATCCCCCAAGTAGTAACAGCCTAAACTACATAATTGAACTTTTAGGAGTTTTGAAATTTTTTATACAATATAGTTGTCTGTTTTTTCTTGTTGCTTTAAAAAATCTTTTAGGTGGTATATATTTTTCAGAATTATATTAAAGAGAACATTTTTTTTCTTAAACCTTTCATAATATAAATATCTTTAAAGTCAAGAAATATTTCTCTAAACTAGAATGTATAATCTACACATGTGACTAAACTTGTGGATTCAATTTATAGTTAAATTTAATAAATACACATTAATATAAAGTAATAAAAAATATATATCTAATTATAACATAGAGCCATTGTCTTTTTGTTTTCTTTATGCAGAGATTAAATACATAATGGTTTTCTCTTTCAGGGAAGTAAGCAATGGCATAGATAAAAAAGGAAAGAAAAAATCTGTAGGTCGTCCACCTGGCCCATATACAAGAAAAATGATTCAGAAAACTTCTGAGCCACCTTTGGTAAGAGGATATGTTGATACTTGTTCTCAGCGAAGGAGAATGTATGCAATTACTGAGAAGCTAATGTTTTTTATTTTTCTGTTAACTTTAGAAGCATGTTTTAAGTATTTTTTGTTTGTTTGTTTTCCAGGATAAGGAGTCAGTTTCAGAGAATCCTACCTTGGATTTACCTTGTTCTATAGGGTAAATAGAAGTTCTCCTTTCCTAGGTATTTTCTTTTTGGGGAAAATTAGTATTTCTATTTGTTATGTAATATAGTTGTTATACCACTTAAATTCTTTTATCTCAGGAGAACTGAGGGAACTGCACATTCATCTAATACCTCAGATGTGGATTTCACGGGTGCTTCCAGTGCAAAAGAAACTACCTCGTCTAGCATTTCCAGGCATTATGGGTAGATATTTTATGTTTATCCTTTATTAATTTTCTTTATATTTTTTTCTTTTAGGATGATGATTGAATAGTTTTTTTAGAAATTAAAAGTGATGCATATGTGTCTTTCAGCTTTTTTATTCCATAAATTGTTAATATTCATTTGAATATTTTTGCTTTTTAGAGCACAAACATTAAGTTTTTCAAATCTGTTAGGAACTTTGCTCTGTGAACAGAGATGAGGTATACCAGTGTTGAGTGGCTGTGCTCTTTTCTCTTAGGCTTTTTAACCCTTATACTGTACAAGTGTGCCTTGCTTTAGAATGATATGATATGTATTTTTTAATACATCTAAGTCAGGCACATAAATCTTTTTCTCAGCGAAAGGTTTTTAAACTCAATTTTTTTTTTTTTTAAAAGAGAGTCTCACTTTGTCACCCTGGGTAGAATGGTAGGGCATCATAACTCACAGCAATCTCTAACTCCTGGGTTCAAGTGATCTTCCTGCCTCAGCCTCCCAAGCAGCTGGGACTACAGGTTCTCATCACAATGCCTAGCAATTTTTCTATTTTTTTAGTAGAGATGGGGTCTTGCTCTTGCTTAGGCTGATCTCAAACTCCTGAGCTCAAGCTGTCCACCCAACTCAGCCTCCCACAATGCTAGGCTTACAGGTGTAAGCCACCGCACCCAGCCAGAATTTTTTTTTCCCCATCAATAGCAGACTCCCTTCATATTTTATTCAGCTTCCCTCTTCAGAACATCATGTCAGGTATGAAAAGTAGAGTTTACTTGAGGTGAGAGCTATTATTTTCAAGTTACATACTTCTGCTTAATTCTTGCTCACAGTTCAAAAACTAGTCTTATAAATTACACAAAATTCTAAGTTATAAGCTTAAAATGTAATCAGTTTATTAATGAAGGTTGAATAATAATTTGAGATATTTTTGGCTTCTGCTAAACTTTTATATACATGGTCTTATTAAATTCTTAAAATGTCGGTTGGTCGGTCAGTTGGTCTGTCTGTCTGTCTATCTATCTATCTGAGACAGTCTCACTCTGTTGCCCTGGCTAGAGTGCAGTGGCATCAGCCTAGTTCACAGCAACCTCAAACTCATGGGCAAAAGTGATTTTCCTGCCTTAGCCTCCCCAGTAGCTAAGACTACATGTGCAACTCTCAGCTAATTTTTCTATTTTTGGTTGAGAAAGGGTTTTGCTCTTGCTTAGGCTGGTCTTGAACTCCTGGGCTCAAGTGATCCTCCCACCGTGACCTCCCAGAGTGTTAGGATTACAGGTGTAAGCCACCGTATCTGGTCTCTTAAAATTTTTTTTTCTTTCTTTTCCTTTTTTTTTAGAGACAGAGTCTCGCTTTGTCGCTCTTGGTAGAATGCTGTGGTATCACAGCTCACAGCAACCTTCAGCTCTTGGGCTTAGGCGATTCTTTTGCCTCAGCTTCCCAAGTAGCTGGGACTACAGGCACCCACCACAACGCCTGGCTATTTTTTGTTGCAGTTTGGCTGGGGCCAGGTTTGAACCTGCTACCCTCAGTATATTGGGCTGGCACTCCACTCACTGAGCCACAGGCGCTGCCCTTTAAAACAATTTTTTGAATTGTCAGTTCCACTGATCACATTTTACAAATAAGGAAACTTGAGACATAGAGTATTTTAAGTAACAAGCTTAACATTGCATGTTTAGCAGATATAACAGAGTTGTTAGGCAGTATAATTTTGTTGTTGTTATTTTTTAGAGACAGAGTCTTACTTTATCACCCTTGGTAGAGTGCTGTGTCAGTGTCACACAGCTCACAGCAACCTTCAACTTCTGGGCTTAGGTGATTCTCTTGCCTCAGCCTCCTGAGTAGATGGGACTATAGGTGCCCACCATAACACCCACCTATTTTTTTGTTGTGGTTTGGCCGGGGCTGGGTTTGCACCCACCACTCTCGGTATATGGGGCTAGCACCCTACTCACTGAATCACAGGTGCCGCCCTATTGTTATTATTTTTTATGTCAGAATGTTATCAGGGTACACATTTTAGTTACATAATTTGCTTTTTTTGTATTTTAAATCAAAGTTGTGGGTGTGCCTTTCACCCTGAAAGTGTATAGTGTATCTGTGCAATGTACCTGATGGGTGGGAGATAATATGATTTTAGTCTTTGAATTTAACTATTATGTTGTATTCTCCCTTTATTACAATATCATAAATTGCTGAATTTCTGTTCTGGTCCTTAAAGATTATCTAGTCCAGCTTACTTAATAAGTAAACATAGAGGATGAAAAATTTGAATTTGAAAAAAAGAAAAAAGATTTGAATTTGGCTGAATAATAAGAGTTGGAGATAGACCCAGCATAGCCTGACTTCTGGTTTGTGTTTATTCCAGTTCATTGCATTACTTTACTAGGCATAGAACTGATAATAAAGAATGTTTCTTCTTATTCTACTATTTAAGACATGAAACAGTATCTTTTATGTGATTGGTGCTTATTAAATGTTTGTTTGAATGAATGAGTGTAGTATTCTTTTTCTTTTTATTTTTTTGAGACAGAGTCTCATTTGTCACCCTTCGTAGAGAATGCCATGGTGTCATAGCTCATACCAACTACAAACTCTTGGGCTTAAGTGATTCTCTTGCCTCAGCCTCCATGTAGCTGGGACCACAGGTGCTTGCCACAACACCTGGCTATTTTTTTGTTGTTGTTGCAGTTGTCATTGTTGTTTAGCTAGGTTCGAACCTGCCTACCTCAGTGCATGTGGCTGGTGCCATAACCACTGCACTATGGGTGCAAGCCCATAGTATTCTTTTTAATGCTGAAACTGTATGTTTGACTTAACGAATAGGGTCTCTTATTAAGATTTTACCTTGTTGGCTTTGTAGGTAAAAAATTTGCTCTGATTCTTTTAAGCTTAGTATAGTACTTAGTTAAGGAAGAAAAACTCTACAAAATTTAGCCCCAGGAGGGTATGATAGACTCTATAGCAGGCATCCTCAAACTAGCGAGCCACATGCAGGGACATTTATCCCGCCCGTCGGGTGTTTTTGCTGCCACTGCCTGTCCTGCTTAGCAGCTGACTTGTCCCGAGGCCTGTAGCCCAGCCCTCCAATGGTCTGAGGGACAGTGAACTGGCTCCCTGTTTAAAAAGTAATGAAGATGTGTGATATAGTCCATTTATATGGCATTTATTGTTTTGGTTTGGCTGATTTTTTTGGATGTTGTTGTTTGTTTGTTTTGTTTTGAGACAGAGCTTCAAGCTGTCCCCCTGGGTAGAGTGCTGTGACATCACAGCTCACAGCACCCTCCAGCTCCTGGGCTCAAGCGAGTCTCCTGCCTCCACCTCCCAAGTACCTGGGACCACAGGTGCCTGCCACAACGCCTGGCTATTTTTTGGTTGGAGCCATTGTTGTTGTCTGGTGGGCCCAGGCTAGATTCGAACCTGCCACCCTAGGTATATGTGGCTGGTGCCTTAGCCACTTGAGCCACAGGCGCTGATAGTAGAATGATACAAAAAATATCAGAGAACATATTGTGTGGACACAGGCTGCTTTAAAAGCTTGGTAGACAATTTGGCCTTTTCTGTTCCATAGATTATCTGACTCCAGGAAAAGAACACGCACAGGAAGATCTTGGCCTGCTGCAATACCACATTTGCGGAGAAGAAGAGGTCGTCTTCCAAGAAGAGCACTCCAGACTCAGAACTCAGAAATTGTAAAAGATGATGAAGGCAAAGAAGATTATCAGTTTGATGAACTCAACACAGAGATTCTAAATAACTTAGCAGATCAGGAGTTACAACTCAATCATCTAAAGAACTCCATTACCAGTTATTTTGGTGCTGCAGGTAGAATAGCATGTGGCGAAAAATACCGAGTTTTGGCTCGTCGAGTGACACTTGACGGAAAGGTGCAGTATCTTGTGGAATGGGAAGGAGCGACTGCATCCTGACTGTAGGACTGAACATTATGTTCACTGCACTCTCATTTTCTGTAGGTACAGTTCAGAGCCCTGAAGGAGTCTGGCTTTTACTATCTTTCTTAAAAAAAAAAAAAAGTCAAAAAAATTGAAAGGAGGATGATACTAGCCTTAACATGTACCTGTCAATGTTATGGATATTGTCATAAAAAGATATCTTTTAAAAACCAGAACAGAGACTTAATTTTTTAAATCTTAAGATTTGTAGACTGTTTCTAGGGTAGGATATTAAAAATGATTCAACCCCCATGCATGGTGTTAGATAATTTTTCTAATTATTCCATTGAGTCAGTTTTTGTGATTAGTGGTTATCACAGCAAACAGATCATGTAGATAGCACAAGTATTTGGAGAAACATTGTCTGTTTTGTTACCAAAATGTTGGAAAAAATTTATTTCAATACCTTTTAGATTTCATAAAGTGCAGTGTATATAATGCCTACTGAAAGACTGTAAAATATTGAAATTTTCTTTCAAACAAAGTGTAAAAAATATATTGAGCCTGTAAATTGCTCTGTGACTAGACTTCATTGTCGTCTTAATATATTCTTTGCATGTGCATATATATACACACGTGTATATATATGTGTGTGATTATGTGACCTATGCAATACAAATTATGGGAATGGGCAGCTTTGGAGTATATATCCCATAATTCTTTTTTCAGGAATAGTTGCAGTATTTACACAGCAGCATTTCTTCTCAGGCTTTTATTGGGTGCTGTTGCTTGCTATGTATGAAGAGAAATGTGTCAGACAAGTGTAGTGTGTTCTGAAGAAGGGTGTGAACAATAGTGTTCATGGGCTTTTAGGATGCTTTTCACTTTCAGTCCTTGTAACTCAGCTGTTCAGTACCTAAAACAAACTCAAGTAATATGAACATTATCTCCTACTAGAAATAACGTTTTCAAGTTTTCATGGCACATTATGATTGTAAATGTCTCTCAGTTTTAATAGTCAGTCTATAGGAGTCCCATGAAGATTCCTGAAATGTTTGTAGTAACTGTTAGTCATGTTTGATCAAGTGTAGTATGAACAAAGTATTTTATTGCACAGGGTTAACAAACAGTATGTTGCCAACTGAGGCTGCTGCTGTTTTATTACAACATTACCTCTTGTTTTTATAAAATGTACCAAGATTTAAATCGATAACTTTATTTTACATGTAAAAAAAAACCAGTTTCTTTTATCACCAGTGTTAGAGTTGTCTTCTGTTTCTTTTTGTTTTGTTTTGTGTGTTTTCTTTTTTAGCCAAAGAGTAAACAGAAGAATTTTCTTATTTGGTGGCTATTCATTTTACTTTTAAAAGTAATTGGTGGATTTTAGACTAAAAACGGGGGAATTTGCCACCAAAATGAAAAATATGTAAAGTGTAGTGATACAGATTGGTAAAAATATGGGTTAGTACTTATTTATTCCATTAATTGATTATTTGACTGTTGATAAAGAAAGTTGCTTTATTTCTTTAAACATCTTCAAAAGATGATCTTTTCTTGTCACGTTGTAGCCAAAAGAAGCAGAGAACTTTGTTGTCCTGCATTTGGTTCCTGGTTGGCCAGGTATAAATGAGCTTTACAAAAGTGCAAATTAAAAACTTACTTCTGTTTACCTCCACCAAAACTTGATTTTCCCCTAGCTATTAATTTAAAGTTGCCTTTCCTGCAGCTGCAATATTTTGAATAACACACAGAGTTTGTGTTGATTTTTGAATGTTTGTTTATATCTAGGGGTAATGAAAAATGTAAATCCCGTGTAACCTTATTCACTCCACCTGTATCATATTATTTCATTTTCCCCAAAGTCCTTTAATTCTAACTGAACACCAGCAGTATTTTTAGAGACTTTCTTTAACCTACTTGGAAGACGATTTATCAAGCTGAACTGTCTTTAGACGTAATTATTGTGAATGTCTGTTTTATTTTATGGTGGTTCACATGGCTCTGATGTTCAGTTTGTATTTTTGGAATTGCTTTACTTAGAATTAAAACAGACCAACATTAAATGTGTGTATTTTTAAAAGAGCTAATGAGTTTTGCTTTTGTATTTGCTTGAAAATACACACTAGTGCAGTAGTTTACTGCTTTTATTCAGCTAGGGAGGTAAGGATTTTCCATTTCTGCTAATAAGTTCACCTGAATTAATCTTTATAAAATATAAAACTTTGCTTTCATTTTCCTCTTGTCCCCCTATAATATTAATAATTGTTGCATGTTCATCTTAAACGGTCTTTTAAAAAATAAACTATATTTAGCCAGCTTGCACACTTTATATTTCAAAGACAGTATATCTCTATCTACTTTGTTCCCAAACTTCAGAAAAATTTAGACTTTCCAACTGTTTTCTTCTTACTTACATAGGTGGTGTCAGGGTTTACACAAAAGGATTTCTTATTTTTTCTTAAAAAACTTTACCCCAGCCTACAGAAATAAAAGATGTAGAAATAATACATTGTATTCATTTTAATTTCATTTTATTCAGAACACATTTTTAGGTAGTCTGATATTAAATGATAAACATAGGTCATGAAACTAGAGTAAAATATGAGCTATTGGAGTTATTTTATAAATTCTGGTATGGGGTGATAAAGCCACATCTTGAAAGGTATAATTCTAAATGTTTAAAGGAAGTGGTTGTTCACTGACACGTGGCAGATGAGGGTATCCTTCCTCTTCCCTTTTGCAAGTATGCATGTTTGGTTTCTATCATTTATGTTCAGAAGATTTCTGTTATCAGTGTTGCGGATAGAATTACCTCTGTTTTGGGCTACTTTATTGAATCTCTAGTAAGTACTATTGAATTTTGGTTGGAATATGGTCTGACTTACATAGTTCTACCAGACTGTTTTATAATAATGTGTTCCTAGAGTTGAATGAGGTTGTGATAGCAATGGAGGTGCTCGTGCACTATTGGGAAATATTTTTTTTTAAAGTGCCCTGTTTGTGTGGGTAAAGTTTTCTTCTTAATCATATTTGAATACCTCAGTGAATACATAAACTCCCCCAGTCTCCTTTGGCTTCTTCTGTGTCAATTGATCAGTCTTGTACTTTCCTAGGGAAAATAGAAATGTGATAGTGAAATGTAAAATAACAACTGTATGTAATCATGGGTACTTTTCTACGTGGTCACAGTTAGTAAACCAGATGTCTGATATAAATTTGGAGATGGATAACTCGTGGAAGCAAAGTGATTGACAGGTATAAATTTATAACTTTTAAGTTATATCAGCATGTCTTTCAGTGATAGCTGGATCAAAATATTATGCTGTCTTTATGTTTAAAATTAGAAAAAGATTACAGATTATCAGTAACTAGCTTACTCTTTTTTTTCTTCCCCATGCTTTATTTTTACCCAGCAACATCCTTCTTTGCTAGCTCCCCATGCATTTTCTCTTTGTTGGTGAAGAAGAGTCTACAAACTGGATTCCGGGTAACTTAATTTGTCCAGCAAATTCTGCAGGGGAATGTGATTTCTCTGTCATTCAGGACAACTTTCTACTGGATTTAAGGAAACAAACCTTCCCATAAGATAAAGTGTATTTTTAGATAAAAATATATTGGTTTTAAGATCATTAGTCTACTTTCTGTAGATACTAAAAGGTTTCCAGTCTCTCTTTTTTCCTGCCCTATGACATGCCTTGCTAAAGTGTATTTTTAGATAAAAATATATTGGTTTTAAAATCATTAGTCTACTTTCTGTAGATACTAAAAGGTTTCCAGTCTCTCTTTTTTCCTGCCCTATGACATGCATTGCTAAATTTGTTTACAGGGGTGGGCGTGAGTGACAAAAGAAAACCCTTTAGAGGGTTTTTATTTCTCCAAAGTTAAATCTTAGCCTGACAAAGATATTTATTCCTTAACTATTTAATTACTCTTACTGAGTTTTTCTTAAGTATCACATGAATGTCTTTGACACTGAGTTCATGAACATAGGCATAGTAGTGTAAGATCAGTGCTATGAAACCATGTAAATGGTTGGCTGTGTTTTGGAGAACTGATTGCTTGATCTGAAAAAACATAATGGCTGAGCACTGTGGCTCATGCCTGTAATCCTAGCACTTTGTGAGGCCAAGGTGAGAGGATCACTTGAGACCAGGACTTTAAGACCAACCTGGGCAACATAGTGAAAAATAAGAAAATTAGCCAGAAGTGGTGGCATACATCTGTAGTCCCAACTACTCAGGATGCTCAGGCAGAAAGATACCATGAGACAGGAGTCTGAGGCTGCATTGAGCTATGATACCACTGCCCTGTAGCCTGAGTGAAAGAGTGAGACATTGTCTTAGAACAAAAACAAAAAGAAACAAAAGATTTTTATTTTTTTCTGATATTTCACTTTTGCTGGAAAGTAGTGTTTTGTTTTGTTTGTTTTTTCATTTTTATTTTTTTTAAGAGAAAAGGTTTCACGCTCACCCTGGCTAGAGTACAATGACAAGGGAACATTCACAGTTCATTGCAACCTCGAATTTCTGAGCTCAAGCAATCCTCTTGCCTCAGCTTCCTAATTAGGACTGCCAGCACACACCACCACACCCAGCTAATTGTTTTTATTATTTGCAGAAACTGGACCTGCATTGTTGCCCAGGCTGATGGTCTCTAATTCCTGGGATCCAGGGATCTCCCTGCCTCAGATTCCCGGAGTACTGGGATTAGAGACATGAGCCCCTGGTCCAACCTGAAGATAACATCTTTGAATGATTTTGAAAAAAATTTATTACAGGTCGGGCACAGTGGGTCATGCCTGTAATCCTACCGTGTTTCCCTGAAAATAAGACACTGTGTTATATTTATTTTTTCTCAAGAAGACACACTAGGGCTTATTTTCAGGGGATGTCTTACTCCGCCTAGAAATATATGCATATCTGCATGGTGTGGCTGCATAGCCACACCCATCACTAGGTCTTATTATCGGGGTAGGGCTTATATTTAAGAAATGCATAGAAATCCTGCTGGGCTTATTTTTGGGGAAACATGGTGAGCACTCTGGGAGGACAGGGTGGGTGGATTACTTGAGCTTAGGAGTTTGGAGTCCAGCCTGAGCAAAAACCAGACCCTGCTCTGAAAAATAGCTAGATATTGTGGCAGATGCCTGCAGTCTGTGCTACTTAGGAGGCTGAAACAAGAGCATCATTTGAGTCCAATAGTTTGAGGCTGCTGTGAGCTATGACTCTACAGTACTCTTCTGAGGGCAATAAAGTAAGACTTTAATCTCAAAAATATATGTAATAAAAATTGAAAATTCATTACATTGCTATTATGTATTTATGTGCATCACTAGTTTGCATATGTAAATCAATACGTTATAATTGAAGTAAATCCATAAAAGTGCTTCAAGTATGGGTATAAACTTAAGTTAAATAAGTTAATAGGATCCAGGATTAGTAATATATCTTAGTGTAGATTATAATCAGTGTTGTTTTAATCAACCTACTACTATTATAGTAATGTAAGGTTAAAAAAAAAAATTTTTTTTTTTTAATAGTGTCCCAGTTTGTTGCCCGGGTAGGGTTGCAGTGATTCACAGCAACCTGAAACACTTGGGCCCCAGTGATCTTCCTGCCCTACCCTCCTGAGTAGCAACTCCATGGATGCTCAACTAATTTTTCTATTTTCAGAAGAGATGGGGTCTTGTTCTTGCTTAGGTTCATCTCAAACTCCTGAGTTCAAGCAGTTCTCCCACCTTGGCCTCCCAGAGTGTTAGGGTAAGGTAATTTTTTGTATTTAGAATTTGAGGCTCGGCACCTGTGGCTCAAGCGGCTAAGGTGCCAGCCACATACACCTAAGGTGGCGGGTTTGAATCCCCAGCCCGGGCCCGCCAAACAACAATGATGGCTGCAACCAAAAAATGGCCGGACGTTGTGGCGGGCGCCTGTAGTCCCATCTACTTGGGAGGCTGAGGCAGGAGACTCGCTTGAGCCCCGGAGTTGGAGGTTGCTGTGAGCTGTGATGCCATGACACTCTACCCAGGGGGATAGCTTGAGGCTCTGTATCAAAAAAAAAAAAAAAAAAAAATTTGAGACAGTAACAAGCAGATAAGAAATTTGTGAGAGGTAGCCTGAAAGATAAAACTTTTTTCCTCAAGGAGATGCAGAAATTTAGGGGAAATGAAGCTTGCTGAAGCGGAAAGGGAAAGACTATTGGTTTATCTAAGACTGTGGAAGCACTGTGTTGGTTTTTGTATCCTTTTGTTACCAAGTCCCTT